TAGCTCTCGCGGCCCCCCCCAGCCTCTGCTTTGCTAGCCAAAGCTAGGTTCCTCCATCTCTCTCGTATGACTGGCTCTCCCAGGTTTTTTATCTAGTAGCCCCTTCCCTGCTCCAGTCCAGGCTCAGTTCATCTTCCCTGGATGCAGGGGACCCAAGCGAGTGACCCCAATGGGTCCTGCTCCATCCCTGCACGATGCTACCAAGACTCTGCCATCCTGCCTGCAAACCTGCAAGGCAGCCCGCGGTCACCTGCTCATCCCATCCTCCTCCTCCACACTGCCGCTTCCCAATCGGCAAGACCTGGGCTCCTAGGAGATATCTTTGCTGTTCCTCAACACGCACATGGCTTTCCATTTCTCGCTGCATCCCACAGCTCTTCCTCCAGCCCTCAAACTCCTACAAGCCCAGGGTAGCAGCCTCCGTGCCCCCTGGGAAGGCTCGAAGCAGGAAAGCCCGTGACTCATCCCCGAGGAGCTCCGCCGGTCACCGCCAGCCGCGACGTCCCCTCAACACCACCCAGCGCCATCCCAACGCTGCTCGCTTCCCTGCCAGCCTCGCAGAGCTCCTCTTCTCCTTCCCCTCTTCTCTGCTTCATTAACACTTCCCCATAGCAAAAGCTTTACTACACAGAGCAGCTCTACACGTTTCCAGGTCTCCGATGCCAGGTTAGCCTGGCGTGACCTACCTTTGGCAAACCCATGATTCATTTTCCTCTCTTGCCTTCCAAATCTGTTCCGAAATGGCATGCAATCGAGGTCAGGCTTACAGTCCTATTCCTGCCTGCCTTACAGTTTTTTTCCCCCTCCTCCCCCCACTTTTAAATATAGGCATCGCGTTCGCTATTCTCCAGTCAGATGGTGCCTCCCCCAACTCGATGGAGCTGTTAAAAATACTTGTTACCAGACCTGCCATTACATGTGCCAGCTCCCTCCAAGAGCGGGGTGGGGGAAGCCGGGCTGATGGGCGCAATGGTCCTGGCACTTGGCTTCCACATCAGCTGCACTCACGGCTGCGTCCATCTTCCCATTACCCAGGGATAACGTAGCCTCTGCCTTTGTGCTGAGCAAAAGCCGGGGTGAAATATCCATCCGTGCCCAAATCTCCCCAGCCATCGCTTCCCCGTGCCTTGTTTCCCTCTGCAGAGGCGTGGAAGTGCTCGCCGCCCCTTGGAGCATCCCTCGTGAGGTCCGTGTCGGCGTGACTTTTGGCAGCTCCTGTAGCCCTTCCCAACTTCTTCGGCATCAAGATGTCGCTGTCTTTGCTGAGCAGTCCCTTTCCCATCCCTCTGGGGTATTGTTTGTTCTTAACATTGCTCCGTAAGGAATGGTTCATCGCCTCGGTCCACTGTGCCTTCCCATGGGGTTTTTCCCCTTTGCTGAAGGTGCCAGAAGGTCGTCGTGTGCAGAAGTGAGGGTGGACACAGGGAGTTCCATCCCCAAATTACATGAATGAGGTAACTCCTTTAGCAAAGAAATTCCTTGCTCTTGCCCCAGCCTCGCAGCAATGCTCAGCTCCCTGGAAACCTTCCCTGCTGGAAACCAGGTCCTGCCACTCACCCAAAGCCCTTTGAGAAATGAAGGAGCTGCCTGGTGGCTGATCTTTGCTGCTTCTTCCCTTCCATTTAAGACAACCACCTTCTCATTATGCACCCACCAGCCTAAACCACCACCACCCAAGTTCTCCCATGGCCACCAGACCAAGAACCACATCTGCTACCACCTCCAGGTACACCCGAGACACCAACACAACCAACAAGTGCTGCTGAAGACTGAGGAGGCAGAGCTTCCCCAAGGGACAACGCGCCCAAGACGTTCCTCATGCCAAGGCATCGGTGGAGAACCCCAGCTGAAGCGGAATCACCACACTCACATCTCGGACACAACCCATCCCGCTGCCTCCAAACTGACAAATGACACCACCAAGGTGTGGGAACAGGAGCCTCGTGGGGTAACGGAGCCGGCATGGTGGGTCCCCACCTGGCGAAGGAGCCCCCGCTTCTCAACCCCCAGCACGGGGTTATTCTTATGGCAGCTCTTGTGGTGTTTTGTTTTGGGTTTTTTTTAATGTTTTTTGTCAAAGGGCGGGAAAAGGCACAGGGAGCTGCAAAAGCAGGTCTCACTCAGGGGGCCAGAAATCTAAAGAAATCTAAATATATACCCGAGCCGAATGCAAAGCACAAGCTCACAGCCCACTCATACCCTCCCTCGGGCTGCACTCACATGGGAAACTTTAGGGTTTCTTTGCTACAGGGGAAGAAAAAAAAAAACCAAACACAAATTCAGTCTCTCCCACCTAAAAATAAACAGGGAGCATGTTCTGCCTGTGCAGGGCACCTTGAAGGGCTGCTCATTGCCCACCAGCTTGGAGAGGGGGACTGGAGCTGCGGGCACCCAACTCATACGGGGAGCAGCAGGACACAGGGACTTGATTCAGATGGCAATCCAACCCTGTTGATTCTCCGGTGTCTAGTAACAGGGCTGGGCTCCCACTGCAGGTTGTCCCTAGAGAGATGAGGAGCTTTCTGCCCCTTCCCAGCAGGACATGTGTCCTGGAGACTTCCACGACCACCTTGGCCAACATCACCAGCCCATGCTCATGCTCCATAAGCTCTCAAAATCCATCTGTGTTAGGAGAAATACTCTCTGTTTTCTGTTCGAATCCAGACCAAAATGGCACATAATTAGATTGGTGTAATATACATTAATTACTGTGACCAACTGGCCATGACGTGCTCAGGGGATATGGCAGAGTTGTACTACGGGACAGGGGGGAAATCCATGGGACCTCCAGCGGCATGTGTGGCCCCATCCTGCCCTCACTGGGGTCCACTGCCAGGGATCTTCCACCCCACGGAGAGCTCCCACTGGGACCCATGCCTTTGCCTACATTTCAGGCAGGCTTTAACGGGGTGATCAACCCGTCCCAATTGGGCAGGAGATGTCTGCCTGTCCCCACCCCAGCTGCAATCCTAGCAAGGGGATTTGAGGATGATGGGGAAAGCCAGGATCTCAGGAGGCTTTGCCCCAGGCACTGCGCCTGCCTGCCTCCCCAGGGGCTTGCTGCCT